AATGTCTGTGATAATATTCCTTCTGCCTTTCTTTTTTTACACCCCTCAGTAGCTTTACTGCATCGTTCTTCATCTGGGAAGAGCCAGGCTTCTTGGGCAGTTTGAAAGGTAGCTGACTACTAAATGATAGAAAGCTAACCTGTCTTATTAGAAGTGTGAATGAAAAGGGAGCGGAGGAGGTTACCAGCTTGTGAAATGGCAAGGACAACTAGACAGAAATTACTGCAAATAGATTTAGATCACTAGAATCCCTATTTTTATTAACTCTTTGAACTCTGGATATTTATTGTGGCAAGAAATTACCCATGACAAGTTATGTAGTCGGAAAGATTTATTTAGAACCTTTGATATGTTTTGGCAAGAGCAAAGAAACCAATAAAATTTACTGAATTGTATCAGTTAATACGAAATTATATATCAGCTGAATGGTATGTAATAACATGAATCTTAAAGGCTTAAATGGTCTGTGAATATTATAAAAATAACAGACTTAAAAAAAATATTGGTCTTCCTCATTGTATGTCTCCAAACTGATGTACCTTCTGGGGAAGCTTTTTTATGTTGTTACTTTTGATGTTTTCCTTCATGTCTTGATTTACACTGACTGAACGTTTGCAATGTAGGAAGAAAATATTTTGAGATCTGTCATTCCTGAACATTTGTAAATTTAAACAAAAAATTCTCAAAACCATGGGAGCTTCAAACAAGCATTCCTTTGCATAGACCTGGCTTTGTATTGACCTTATATCACTAGTGCCACTGAATGTGCAATAGGTATTTTAAGGAACCACTTGTCAATTATTCTGTCTGTCAAGTGGAAAGCAGACTGGGAGACAGGCAATCATCTGTGTCATCCCGTGGTGTAAATACTATCCCTGAGATACATTTTTCCCCTGCTAATTTCTGAGTCTCCTTGTCCCTGATTTCAGGGTGAATTTAACAATACATTTCTAAAGTATGAAGCTGAAGAAGCAATGTTGTATGGCAAAGTACACTGTACAGAAAAATGAATGAAAAATTGCAGATCCTGTCAGAAAAGTATGCAATCTTAATCTCTAACCTGAAGACCAGAGAGGCTGATAAAAACATTTATTTTGGCTTCTGTGTGATAAACATGTGACAAAATATATAAAAGGCCAAAGTATATATAGGAATAATTAAGTTATGTACTGTTTAGTTTAATTCTACTGGTTAATTTGGGGAGATTAAAGGAATATTTTAGACGTCTGTTACTACAACTTAAGCAATGTAGCAATGCAGAAGGTAAAATTATTCTCCTTCATTTGGACTTCAAGGAATGGAACAGCTGTAAAGCTTGTAGGATAATGCTTTCCAACATGTAGCAAACTATGCAAAAGGAAAAAAGTAATTAGTTCTCTGTGTCTGAGACTGAGAGCTAGGACAAGGAGAAATGGGCTTAGATTGTGTGACAAAAGGTTCAGGCCAAGAGTTAAGTAAAACTTCCCCAGGATGAAGAACACTGAAATCAGTTGATGGGAGGTTTGCGGAGTTGCTCTCATTCCAATTCTAGGACAACAGGGTAGTCAGATATCTGGCAGGAGAGATGGTATAGCTGGACCTCTTCTGGAACAGAGGAATGGGCAAGGTCACCTCTCCAGATGTGACCCAAAAACAGTAATCCCTTTAGTCATAATCTTTATTAGAATATGAACTGGCACAAAGCACTTTATGAAAACAAAGAAAATGCAAACTCTGGCTGAGAAAAATATAAATAGGTTTTGAAAGTAAGTTTAGCTTTTGCTAGTGTTACCCTTTTCTTCATTCTTGTTTTCATTATTGCAGCTTCCAGTGCCTTCTTGGTTAAAGCAATTCTCTCTGGGCTTCAGTTGTCATTTTGCCATCTCTGCTGATGTTCACTCCTGTCTGCTCCTTCCTTTTCCCAGCAACATCCCAGGCTCCATCCTTACTGCCTGCTCTGTCCTTGCTAATCCTTCCTCTCTCTGCTTCTCCCAGCTTGTACTTCTAGCGAAGGGTGCTCAGGGACCCTGGGGAAGGGGATATTTGCCTTCCCATCCTCACCCAGTGTCTGCCATTGGCATGAGGTAGAAGAGACAGCTTCTTTGTTTATTCACAGCAGAATAAACAGTGAACACATAAAAACCAAACCTTTCTATCACACTTCTCTGGAGTAGTTTCAGCATAGATTTTCTATGCTTCTAAGTAGCTAAATACATATTTTGAAGATTTTTCCAAGTGTTAGCAAGTTCATGCTTAGGAGGTGCCAGATGTTTTCACAATGAGGCTGTGTTTTAGTATATATTCATTCATTCTCTAGAAATGAGAAGAGGATGGATGTATCTGGGCTGTTTTTGTCTTGTGGTTTCTTAGTGTGGTCAGAAGCAGAGATGGCAAAATTTCAAGTGGAATATCAAATGCTACCAAAAAAAACTTAACAGTTTTTGCAAAGTATGGGAAATATGTAAGTATCTGGGAAACATGACATGTGGCGTTGTTCATATCTCAAGAAAAGGTTCAGTTAATGTCACATAGTATACAAATAAGCAAACCAAATTGTAGACTGCACAAAAAAAATATCATCTAAGAGAATGCTGAAACTACAACACAGTGGATTTTTTTTTTTTAATGCTATGTTAAATTTCATTACTTTGACTAAAAAAAAATAATACCAGGAGATGTGTAACTGAAATGATTAGGGTTCTAGAGAGAGTGTTATTTGAAGAGGATTTAGAAGTCTGACACTGGTTAGTTTCCAGAGCACAGGAATAAGACAGGTCAAACTAAACATATACAATGCAATAAATCTTATGAAGAAAGTTAATCACATGCTTTTATTTATTTCTATTTATGTTTTCTGCTATACCAGACAAGGCAACATTAAATTACTTTGAAAGCAAATAGCAACAAAGATAAAATTACTAGATGGAAATACTATGTAAAATATTCCATAAATTAAATCCCCTTGTTTCAAGATATCCCTGAAGTCAGAAGGTTAGTAGAATTCAGTTAAACATTAGCTGGGTAGCACCAGTCTTGCAGAAATGTTAGATGTAAAAGTTCACGATTAGATTCAACCAGAACATTTAAAAATGAAAAGGAAATTTAAGAGTTAACATATCTGATGGAATAAAAAACTTACTTGCTATTCAACAATACAGGTTAGTGTAGCACCATGTTATATAAAAAATGGTAATAATTAAAAACAGTGGTATGTGTTTTAAGGCTTTTATAAAAGGCTTTGCTTACTTTTTTCTTTAATAAATTCTATTTCATTTTAGTATTGTCTTTTAATTTAATTTTGACATAATATTTAATCATTCTGAGGTCCTTAGGAATTTTTTTCTTTCTTGAAGAAAGTGCTTTTAGTTTATCAGTGAATTGTATGGTAGCACATTTTGGGTTGTGGCCAGCTCTTAGTCCCATGTTATCATTAGTTTTTTCAGCCCAAAAAAGATTAATCTCTGGTTTTCTTCAGCTATAAGGATCTTTCATTCTTCTTTGGACTCCTTCAGAGAAAACCAAAGGTCTTCCTCAGGAACCTGAGAGTGAATATTGTGTATGGGAAAGGAGGAAGTTTGTTTTTAGAAATATTCTGAGTAAATTAGAGGTATATAATAAAATTTAAGATTATCAGTAAAATAATCTTTTTACTTTTAACCTTATAGGATATTCAGGATTGCTTTTAGTTTGGCTTTTCTCTAGCTGCTCTTTGATTTACTGCAAGTAATATTTTAAATTTTTGTTGGCATTTTGAAGTTACAGCTCATTTCATAATGAGCTGTTAAAACTCAGGCATGTCTTGGTTAGTGTTTTGCACTGGTTAGATATTGGTTGGCATTGCATTTTAGTCTGATCTGGATTCAGACTGCTTGAAGTATATTAAAAATTATGCAAAAAAGCAAGTCAATGGCCTCCCTAAACAAAATTAAAGTTGTAACACAAGTATTCTCCTTTGTTTGTTTGTGGGTTTTTTTGTAAATAAATTTGAAAGGACTATCTATGCTTTAACTGCTCTATTCTCTATGGAATTGCAGATCAGATTTAATTAGATAAGTTTGTGTCTGCAGTGGTTTTTTTTTACGCTTCACGTGTCTGCAGCCTTTGAAAGGACTACAAAGAGACTCAGGTTTCAGGTGCTGTGTCATCAGTTTTGATCATGTTACACAACTGAATGCCATAATGCTTTTAACAATGTAATTTAGTGAATTTAATCCATATCTGGATATTAGAAAAGAGATACTGGGCACTAAACCTTTTTTTTTGGTTTGCAGTTCAATGCTTACTGCTAAAATAACAGACAGCAACAAATTCTGATATTTATTGTGTCAAAATGCGTTTCTATTTACCTACTCTGAAAACTGAGAAAACTTCACACACTGACCTATCTATGATGTATTAATAACTGCAGATGATCTTAACTACTACTCAGTTACTGATCTTTCACAGTGTAAATATCATGTATTTATGTTTTAAGGATATCTGTTGTACTGATATTTTTGTCTCCATTTATTTTTGAATTTTTCTTAGAGTAGAAAAATTCATTCACCCTGAATTTTTTTCCTTGTGTAGCTAATCTATTACCACCTTTTCTATGCAGTTAGGGAACATAGAGAAAGTAAAATCAAGACAGTGTTATATCAGAAACTTTTCCCCCACTTCTAAGTAGCTTAGTTAAATAGTGATTAAAAAATCAAGCATACATGAAATATTGATGGCTTGGCATACAGTTTCTTGTACCTGTTTTTCTGAAAAAGTGTCCTTTATTGATAAGCACTGCTTTTCCAAAGTTATGCTTTTCATAAAAACAGGTGTGGGAAAAGCAAAGATTCAATACTTCATTATGAAAAATATGTGTGACCATTAAGTGCAAGAAAACAGACTGTAAAATTTCTTAAGTGCACAGAAACATAAACAAAACCAGGAATGCTTTACTGTGTGCTACAACAGAGCCTGATTCTAGCAGTACTATTTAGCATCTCTGTATAAACGTAAAGTCTAATTGTGTGTTTTCTCCTTTGTAGGAGTTAATTCCAGAGTTTTACTACCTACCAGAGATGTTTGTCAACAGTAATGGCTATAATCTAGGGATCAGAGAGGATGAGGTTGTTGTGAATGATGTTGATCTCCCCCCATGGGCCAAGAAGCCTGAAGACTTTGTCCGTATCAACAGGATGGTAAGTTGCACTCGAGTGTAGCCTAAGTAAGGAGTTCTGTGATGTAACAATCCAACCTAATGCTGGTTTTCATCTCTTCAGAACTAGATTTATGAAAATTAAATTAGAAGTGAAGGAGAATTTGCATTCTGTCTTGCTTGACATAACCCTTCACTTCAGAATAAATTTTCCTTCCTAATAATGGAAAATTAAATTCAGTTACTTACTTTCTCATGAGAAAGCATCAGATTGGCATTAGCTGGACAATACAGGATAACCTGAAAAATTTAAGTCTGTTCCTCCTCATCACCTTCTACATGAAAATCTCTAAGGTTAATATAAAGCTGGTATCTTGCAAGATACATTATACTTCTTACTTGACTGGATCTATGCAATTCCTACTCATCAAAGATGGAAGTGTAGAAATGTGAATAAAAGCCAACAACGGCAGTCTGAAGAAATTTTGAAAAGAGCTGCTGTGATGTAATTCAGCACAGGTCCACAGCATTTAAGCATGAAAAACATTTGTCTATGTTGTATATTTTTTACTTTAATGTGGTATATAATGATTTTATTAATTATATATTTAATATGTACGTATGCTTCTGGTTATTTTTAGGAAAAAAACAAGGTGTATACTGATGTTTTAACCATCCATAGTTCAATTTATGGTTCTGTTCTGGAAATGGATCTTCTGTAAAATGCATTTCAAGAACTCTCTCTTTTAAGAAAATTCTCCTTCAGGAATTCATATTTAAAGAGCCGCATGAAATTCAAAAGAATAGGATAATATAGAAACAAACCTACTCCATGATGTATGTCATTTAGAAGTGGCCTCCATTTACAAGAGTAAATGGTTTGACATGTACTGCAATCTCCTAAGCAACTGGTGGCAACCTCATTACTTGAGACATAGGAAATGCACTAGACAAAGCATGAGAAATGTGTTCCAAGGAGCAGTTCTTTATTGTCAGGAAGAAGCTGAATAACATTTTCCTTCTTTTTTTTTTTTTGGCTGATTTCTCATAACTGCATATATTGTGAAATTCTTTCTAAAAACATGTTGTCACAACCACTGCCAATAAACTCAAGTACAATTTTTATAACCATGGTGGCTAGGAGATGGATTTAAAAGATTGCTGCCCTCCATTACCAGCCTGAACATGCACAGACACAAGCATATGTGTCCAGATTGTCCATGTCCCTTCACCAAATGATTCTGGATTGTGGTTGTGACTAAAACTGAACTGGGCCAAAGAGCGAGCACACTGAAGTTTACCAAAGTGTTTACTTGTGACATCTGTAAGAACTGAAGTGAGATATGTTGATGAAAAAGGATAAATAAGCTGCTAGCTATTGGGGAATGTAATGGGAGGTACATATTGATGACTCCTTTTGGCAAATCTGCCAAGTGTTCCTTCTTGGTTCCTAAATTGTGTCTTTCCATCTTTCCTTTCCACAAAGATGGAATGATTAATAGGAATATAAAAGGCACTATATGATTAAAGTTCTCCAGAAGTGTTAGTTTTAGTTTATTTAATTTCTCTGGTGCGATTTCTGCTTTTTAGAAAACAGCAGAGAAGCTTTCTACAGAAATGTTTTGTACTGGGATATTTATGACTATTGAAGAAAACAACTGCTTACATGACTTTAGAGTATAGCGTTTATACCCGTTCAGGACCATGTTTTCAATCAAAGTTGGTAGTTAAGAGCTGGACATACTTTTAAAGTATTAAGCTGTAATAGCAATAGTGACTGATTCCATAGGAGTGTAAGTATGTTCAGCCTGCCACGCAACAAACAAGCTGATGCCAAGTAGAACTAAAAAGTTCAACTTATGGAGTGCTCTGCAGATTTTTAAATTAGAAATTATCTCATGTGGTATCATACCCTTCCTATACTGTCTTCCACTCTTGTGCCCACTTATGTGAGCATCATGCTATTATGATACAGTTTTGCCTGGAGGCATTTTCTTCATGGCCTTTACTCAGTCCAGCATCTACTTTTAGCAAGAGTGTGATCAGTAGTTTAAATTCAGTTCTACACAGATGCAGACTATCTTAAAGTAAGCAGTCTGATGGAGTTCAAAAATTTTAATAAAGTTGGGAATTGCCTAGAAAACAGAAGAAAGAAAAATAGATTTATTTGAATTAGGGGCAGAAATTACACTGAAAATCACCTCAGGAGGAAACAATTAAAGATTTCAATAGGAAGCAGAAGTCCGGAAACAAAAATAGTACCAAAAATAAAGCAGAAGCAAGAGAAGGTTGACAATAAGCAGCAATTAGATTAGATAAAACTCTCTAATTCTATATTCACCAGAAATAAGAGTATTTCAATGCCATCTATTGGGAGTCATTGCATCACAGAGGATGTAAACAGTTGTGCCTGTCTGTGCTTCTTTTGAGACTGCACCTGGAATATTGGATTTACTTCTGAGCAACCAGATGACAGAAGAAATATTCACATTTGGATGAAGTTCAGAAGATAGAAACCAAGTGAATAACTTTGGGATGTCTGCAGAACATGATATATGCATTATTTTTTCATAAAGCTTATTATAAAGTAGCAACTAGCTAAAGCAAGATAATGCCTTTCATGAAAATGCAGATAGTACGTGTAGTACGAGGCAGTGGAACTATATTTTGAAAGATAAAATGTTTCCTAATTTTTCAGAGAAAACTTCTTCACGTGGGGTTTATTAGCACATAAAGCAACTGCCAGTATGCCCTTTCCTTGATCACTAAAACTAGGCTAGTAAGGAGCAAGTATAAAGGGTTTGGAAAGTCTGTCATTCCCAGCCCAATGTCTGAGTCCATGTTTTGAGCTACAGCCAGTAGATGTATTATTCCATTGGGTCATCCCCAGGCCAGGCTTTGGCCGTTACACAATAGTCTATCTCCAGAAAAAAAAAATAGTCTGGGTGTGGTGCTGGCCTGTAAAACACAGCAAGCTTGTGCAAGTCTGGAATTTCTACAGCAACTTAGAAAAGCAAGTAGAGAGCATGTCCACAGGAAAGCCACATAAAATTGAGGAGTATTTCAAGTAAGTGTTACCCTCATCCCTTGCCTAATGAAATTAAAACTAGTCATTTAATTTCACTGGGAAGCTTCCTGTGTGATACCATGTAACATATACTGGGATTTTGGTTTTTTTCCCTAGCTGACAATTTTTTCTTCTGTTCATACATATTTTTTGCGTGCTGCAAGCATATAAGTGTGTAATTTTATGTGGAAGTAAATACAAATCCCTATATACAGCCTATTTGCACATTTATGAATGTAAACATTTTCTTTAAATAACAGCAAGAATTTAATTTCATCCTGAGACTTCCCAAGCCAAGTAGAGAAGAGCCTCGAAACATCAGAGACAGTGACATGAATCATCATAATTTAACCAATTGGTTAACAAGCTTCACTAAAATTCTGTGCAAATTTATAAAACATAGGCAGGCTTTTGGTGGTGTTTTATTTTATTGTTTAGCTGAGTTAAGACACTTGTAACTAAAGAGAAATGGAGTTGGAAATGGGTTTCCATCAAAAGAGATTCCTTTAAACTTGTGAAAATTAGACTCATAAGGAGTAAAAAAGACATTTAGTAAAGTTTTATTTTAGACCCATTGCAGTAGCTTCTAAAGCACTCGTTGTATACATCAGGGATTGTTGTAGCAGTTTTATTTATCCACACAAAGCTAGACTGATCGCTACGGAGTTACTCATGAAACATTAATAAAGCACTATGTTCAATGCTAACATGATTATGGTCTGACCTCGGCGATGGCACAAAGGACAGAGGCAGAAAGTGTCCCTGATAACATTACCCTAATTCTGGGCTCATCAATCATAATCTCCCAGTTTACCAGGAAAAAAAACCCCACGCATAAAACCTTCCACAGATGTGCATCTGTAGTCCTACTCAGCCCCTCAATCCCCACAGACTTAGAGCAGTCATGAGAGCCAGAAATAGAACAGATTCAGTCAGTTGTTAAATCAAGGCAGGGAACACCATGTAAAACACTGAAGCGGAGCTTTTATAAAAAGTGTTCTTTAGTTTTGAAACAAAAGATTCAAGATTGTGTGTAATTCAAAGTTAATTATAATTATATTTTCATTATGGCTTATGCACATATTAAATTACAAATTACAGTGTTGTGTAAAGTGCATTCACTGTAAATTATATTTTAGGCCCTAAATGGTGTCCTGTTTTTGTTATACATATTGTATTCCTATTACATAACTGTTGCTAAGATAGAATTTTCTTTCTGTCCTTGAAATGATTTATTTGCATTCTTTTGCTGCCAGTTGCATTTTTGTACAATTCTTTGGCTATTCAGAAGCATGCATAGTATTTCATAATTAAAAAGCTTCTTGAATAGTCATTAGAAACATCTATTATGAAATCTCTGTGCTATGAGGATCTGGAAGATTTATTGTTTCTCCCCACCATTCAGCAGCAGCAGCTGATGTTCCTTTCGTACCAGATAAGCAGTAGATAAGCTTTGATATTATTTCCTCAGTAGTAGCTTTAATTTTATTTTGTGTATTACCAGGGCTTATTCTCAATGCAATTAAAACTCATTCAGCTAACAGGGTTTTAAATCTAGTTTGGAAATGGCAGTGATTCTCTTTTTAAAAATTTTCTGTATTGCTGAAGACTTGTATTTGCATCTTGAAGACTCTAACATAAAGGATCACTTTCTGTGCAGACATCTCTCAATAACCCAAATCTGTAGCATGCACTTCTGCTTCACTTTCATTGAAATCTTACTTTGTTTAAACAAACAAGGCTAATTTCAGATATCAGTATTGCCAGTTTCCTCTTATGGCAAGAGTCACAGAGTTTACTATGATAGCCGCACAAGAAATGGCAAAGGAGACAGAGAAATACTAACTGTAGAGAATCTGTACATTCAGTGGTGCAGACAAGTGCGGATGTAAGGCGAGAGAAGAAAAACCCAACTCAAAGGCTGACACAGCCAAATATCTGTTATTGAGCAGATCCACAAAACCAGTGTCTCAGAGCAGTTTGAAGAAAATATTTTTAAATATACTGAATAGGGTTAGTAGCAAAACAGTGTGGTAAGAGTTCTTGGAGAGACAGACAACATATAGCTATGGAGAAGAGGGAAACTGCAGAAACAGGAGGGGCATTGCAGCTGTGGTCCTGAAGAGGAGCAGCATCAGAGCTTTCTTCTTTGGTAACACAAAATACCCAGGTAACACAAAACATAGTATTAGAAAGAGGGTGGAATAGCATATTTTATAAATCCAGAATGCCTGATGCTTTATACAGCACATAGTGTACATTAAAATAAAACCAATGCCAACTACTGGAATCTCTGTAAAAATAATTCTAACATCAACTTAGGATGAATGGAGGGAGAAGTGCAGCGTTCATACTGTACAAAGGTCTGAGAAGAGCTATAGTGCTTGCTCCCACTAAGAAGTAACTTGGCTAAGAGTAACTTTATTTAAGTTATATGTAAACATAAAGTTACTAATACCTATTTATGTTTTACAACAGCTACCAGTCAGATTTTTCAGCCTATGAAATGTGTGCAGGTTATTTGCCTGCAAAAAAATAAAACCCACAATACCTTTACTTAAAAATATTTCTCTTTCTACTACTAAATATAACATTTATGGTTTAGCTTTTAGCAATAAAAGTCACTCAATTGAGAACAGTAACATAAGACACTCCTTCCTCAGAACAAAACCCATGAAAATGTACTGACTGGAATGTTCCTATTTAAAAATTAAGTCCCAGTAACAGTGGTTCAAGCAAGTTTAGTTTGAGAGAGCCTGAATATAACTGTATATTTTAATCATGATAGAAATCAAGATGGCTATTAGATTGTTTCTGTTAAACAGTTAAGAATCCTTAAAAGCCATAAATAATACATAAATATTACATCCTTTTCTATATGTTGTTTCAACTGTACCTACAAATTATTTTTAATGCAGAAAATTCCTTCACCCTATTCTCTACTGGGCATTGCATACTCAGGAGAAACCAAATGTTGTATTGTTGAAAGTGACCAACTCATAAGTTTTTCAGGAAGCACATAGATGGAGGGGGAGCAGCCTGTACATTAGAGCATATTAGGGAGAGGATTCTGCAAGTATCATGTGAGTAGTGTTGTGGAAGTACTTGGAAGAAACACCAGCAAACCAGGCCAGACCTGACATCAGAAGTATTCTCCTGACTAAGATGTATGCGGGTGATAAGCACAGATCAGAAGCCTTGTCCCCACCAAGGGCCAAATAGGACTTTGCAGCCTTTTGGTGACCCATTCTTGAGTGCTCCTTGTCTATTGTCCATGCCCAGTGTCATACATCACATGACACCCCGATGGGGAGGACGTGGGCATCCCTCAACACCCATCACAACCTGCTGCTGGAGGCTGTGAGGTGTTAAGGCCCATGCAGAGCCACTCTCCTTCACAGCTCTGGTTCTTCTCTGTGCCTTCTACTCTGGTCTCCGCCACAAATCTCCTCACCACACTGGTCTTCCAATACACAGTGCTTGGCAGGCACGGTGCTGTTAGTCCCCTTGCTACCACCAACATCCTCACAACCTTGACAGCAATTCTTCCAACTTCCAAATTTCTATGAAGTTCTTAAATTTATAGTTCAAAATAATTAAATTCACTCCTTAAAAATTTCCCCTAATCTTGTGTTGCATTTCAGCATACAGACCTTTGAAGAACCATTCGACCTATAAACATAGTACAATAAATCTGCTTAAAGAATTGGAGACGAAAGACATGACATGATTCTGTTAAAAAGTAGCTCATTTATTTACTAAGTTATTAAAGAACTGTTCATCCATAAAGTTCTCCAAACCTGCCAGGGTCAGTAAGCTCTTCTCTGGAATGACAAGCTGCTGAGTAAGGGCTGGTCATGCAAGTAGAAACTGCCTCAGGGAAACATAACATAGGCATTAAACTTTCCTAACACAGAGGAGCGGATGTTTGAAGAGATAATGGGTGAAATATGCTCATTTGACCCAAGCATTTTGTTTTTCAAATTTACTGTTCTACCTTCAAATAGCCAAAAGTTTTGCCATTTTCCTGAAATGCTTTCTGTATTCTAGAAAAAACAGTGCCTTTTTTTGACCAAAGCAAATGTCTAACATTTTTTGGCAGGGTAAAAACATTTTAATACCTAAATAATAGATACAGACACATAAGAAACATGCAGAGTTTGGATGAGAAAGAGAACAGTTAGGCTGCTTCCTGTAAGTTGGTCAAAGATGGATGCTGGAAAGACAATAAGCTTTAAATTCCATTTTAAGTTTTATTGCATACAAAGGAACATTAAAGATTGAGCATTTAAAAGTTAGGAAATGCTTTATTTATGGTTGCTATGGATTACTTAATTTTATCCTTGCATGATAACGTCCTGCATGCTAAATGAGGTAAAAGTCCTATGAAAAAGATTTTATGGAATGATGTAACTGATGGCTATATTATGTTGCATGCACACAATACAATATAATTAAGGATTTGGCATTTCTTAAGTATTTATTAGGCAACATGCAACTTAATGCTATTTAAATTATATTACTTGCAATTTGCATATGATGGCCTCTAATTTATTTATTTATTTTAATTTTTATTTATGTGGTTCTCTGCAACATTTCCTTATAGCTTCTTCTATTATGCTGGACTTAATCCCTGGAAAACTGAGCTACACATTAGCTATTATGCCTGAGCCTTACCATTCATTTTCTTCAGAAATAACAGTCACTGTTTTTGGCAGAAAATGGTTCAGTTTTTCACCCCAGCAAAGACAGTTCCTCTTCCACGAGGAGGGAGAATGTCTGAGGAACAATGGGGTGCTTACCCATGGAGCCAGACCCACATGGTTGCCCCATTTGTAGCTATTGCTGTGTGTGGGATGGAGAGCAGGGTGCTGCTGCTGCTGCTGGGCAGTGCATGGCACAGTGCTACAACATCCAGTGATTATTTATTAAACAGATTCCTTTTAATGTAAAGGTATAAAATGAAAACAATTTTATTCCAAAGTTTATTCACCTGTAAAATTTGAACTTCCTGGGGCAAACATGAAATCTAACATAGCTGAAATGTGTCTCTGCTAAATAGTGGCACTGTGCTAGAAGCAATGGATAAATTAGGATTTCTTAAAGGGGAAAAAACCCCACTGTCTTTGAGAATGCAATATATTGGGTAATGCAATATAGAGAGTTGCTGTGAGCTCTGCCTGTAAGCAGTGAGTAGTGGTAACCTTGACATAATAACTTGTATTAAGGCTGTAATTTTTTCGTTTGTGAGTGAACTGGACACTTTTAGAGGTGCCCAATGAAAGAACTAGAGGCAATAGGCACAGACTGAAGAACAGGAGGTTCTCTTTGACCATCAGAAAACATATTTTTTTTTAGTGTAAGGGTGACCAAGCATTGACATAGGTTGTGTATTCAGGTGTGGACTCTTGGGAAACTAAGACAGGTAGTCTGGTAAGACAAGAGGGCTAAGAAGATATCATGTAATGCCTTCAGCTTTAAAAAGCTCTACTTTGTACAGTAGTATCAGGTAAGGATGCCAATCCCGTCTGATAAATACATATTGGTTGGCTCAGGCTCAACAGTAATACTGTCATAATTTCCACCATCTAGAATTAATCTCTTTCCATATGCTAAGCAAAGGAATAGCAATCCTTGAAGCCATTTTTAACTAGGTCATCAGGCCCTGTGTTTTCTCTGGTGAACCAACATAATGTCAAAAACTACTGTGAAAAATGTTTTTCTCCTTTGATAAATCTGTCACAACTCACACATTGAGTTCAGAACCTCATTTTGTCAATACAGCTTTTTAATCCTCAAGTTTCCACTTAGGAAATTAGGATTTGTTGGAATTAGAATTAGCTGGAAATTAGAGTTAGTTGGAAAATTAATTGGAAGATTGGGTTTCTGAAATTGTTTTCCCCTTTTCATCATTTTTTTCTGACAAATACCCTAACTTATTTGGCAAACCCAAAATTAATAATTAAACCCTTCTCAGCTAGGAGAAACCAAGTAGTTGAGGAGAAAATTATCTTGATATAAAGCTGAATGAAAGAATAACATATTTTTAGTTTCTCTCTTATTCTATAATAGATTAAATATTTCTGTTTGAAGGATTTCAAATATATTGAATAAACCTGGACAAGTAATGGAACGACACCCATTAATTTTCCCCAGTTAAGAGGAGAAGGTAGGATATAATATAAGCATGAAAATGCAAAATGGAATTTGCTTCCTAACTCTGAATTTCACTTGCAGGCCCTGGAAAGTGAGTTTGTATCATGTCAACTTCATCAGTGGATTGACCTTATATTTGGCTACAAGCAACGAGGACCAGAAGCAGTGCGTGCACTCAATGTTTTCCACTACCTAACATATGAAGGCTCTGTGAACTTGGACAGTATCACTGATCCTGTCCTCAGGGAGGTAGGTGTCTACTGCCATTTCATTCTAAAAACTGCTGTGAGCTCACAAGAAATGGTATTTTTTCCATCTTTCGCTGCTGGAGAAAATTTGTGTGTGTGACTTGATTCAGAGCTTAGGCTCTAGGTGGCTTCAGACATGAGTATTAATAAATTAGCAATAAAACAGATGACCCAAAGAATTATGTTAGCTTGAGGTTATTAATATATTTAATGGTCAATTCTGATACAGGAAATTAGAATGTAATGTATATTCTGTAATATATATTCTGCTTCTTTTTATAATCTACTCTTATTTAGTTCACTTACTAGAAATGAAAAGTTGAAAGAAAAATCTACACCACATTTATAGGGAAGAAAACCTAACCTTTTCAGTTAGATAACGGTGAGAATATGTATCTGAAAAGGAATAAATTTGCTAGATAGGCAGTAGCAACCATTCAGATTGCTTTCATGTTAATCAGCATCATAAAACTGTTACCACAACAGAAATGTTTGCTATTTGTTGAGCATGCAGGTATTTATGTTTATGTTTATATATATATACATATATATATGCATGATAAATATATACATTCACATATATACAAGTAAGCATTTCAAATTTGTAAGTAAATTTAAGAAAATAATATTGCACTAGCTATCCTGATAGGTTTTGTTCAACTGACTTTGTTTTTAGCAGAACTATCAATTTGAATGATTATTTCTTAATATCATCCATTTGTTGGCTAAAACAATTGAAATTTGGTGAAAAGTGTGAAGGAGCAACAGCTGCTAGATGAGTACTGCTGTGATGAAGCTGTATACACACAGTCTTCCATTCCCCTAGATAGCTGCCATCTGCTGTATGCAAAACAGTAATAATTTATATATTACCAGGCAATGGGTTTTTTTGTTTGCTTTCTAATCTTGGAGACAGAAATCGACAGATTTCAGAAAGAAACAGATTTTAGAAAGCATTTGTATTCAGCTAAATATTGGGTTTGGGCATTTTTTTTTAAGTAGCGGGCTGTTGCATCTTCTACATTTGGTGCTTTTTGAGAAGCATAACTAAAAAAACATTCAGACCTCTAGCTTCCTAGAGCTGGATTTTCACACCATGCACTGCAAAGCTTGTATTTTGTAAACAATGAATGTTTGCTTAGTTTTAAGAATAGTGAGAATTTCACTGATCTCACTGCCTCAAATAATTCACATCTACATATCTACATAATTGTTTTCTGGATTTAAAAGAGTCAGTAAGGTACAAAACTAGAGTTATGAAGGAGCAATGCTTTTAAAAGTAGAAAACAGGTGTCAAGCACCATGAATACAAGGGATTTGCATGGCTTAAGGTACTGATTTGCATGGGCAGACTCCTGTGGCATGATTTTAAGGGTCTACTCCCACAGGGCAGCTTGTAGGATTGAGGTCTATGTCTCTGGGCACCTTATTTAACATCTTATGACATGATGAGACTCTTCAGCTCTCCTGTGGCTCTACTTACATGCATAACTTGTCACCAGAAATTTCAAAAAATTCACAGAGATGTTTTTGTTCACTCGTACATCTGACCCATGTCCTGCCAGTCAATAGCATATAAACCTCTTCTTAGGCTATTTACACCATGTAAACATCTAAAGGAAAAACTTAATTGTCATTACCACAAGTAAGGTTGCTAAATAAAATTCATTGTTAGCAATGAGAGGGCAACATGTAGAAAAAATTAAACTACCTAGATTTTGTTATCTGTAGATACATAAAGTTGTGTGCAAACATTTAAAAATCCTATTACTTCTCTTTGAAGAGATGTCATACATTAGAGATTTGTGATTTCTCATAAAAAGGTTATTTGCTTGTTTGTTTGTTTTTAATCAGAAATTGCAACATGTGTAAATGTAGGCACATTTAGAGATGCCTTTTTATCCCTGAGCTCTATGTATGAAACTAGCAGACAGCCTCTGGCCAATAATAAACCATTTGACATCTTGATGATCTAGTAGATCAGGTATTTGGATGTTGTGTTTCTGTTGAAGTATATATGTTCTGTATAAATTGCTGTGTTGGCTTTTTTTTTTAAGCAAACAAACAATCAAACAAAAACAAACAAAACAACAACAACAAAAACCCAAAACCAAACAAACAAAAACCAAAACAACATAAAAAAAAATCTTTATTCTGGCTTTTACTAGATATTCCAGAAAATAAATTAGAAAAGATCTTTTAAAAGCCTCTGAATCTCACTTATAAATCCAGAAGAGTAAGGATAGTAACACTAGCAACTTTAAAAATAGTTGTTGTAATTGTTTAGTACATTTTACTGTGACAGGTGGTGGTGTCTGGCATCTTAAGTTAGAAAGAGTGCAATTTAAAATTGATTGAACTTTGCGGTTATCCAGAAAAATATGTATTTTAGTATCAAAGCTATTGATGTTTATTTTGTAAATAAATATAAATAGTTTTGTTCTGTCACACAGAAGATGGTGAATGTTCTCAAAAAATTACTATGAAAGATGGCAATCAATACAACCTTAATGGAAACAGCCATTACCAGACCAATGGGATCAAATATGGCAGTAACATCCTCAAAGTACAGCCATAACTAATTTCATATTGAGCTGACTCCCAGCAGAACCTGTCCAGTGGAATAAGGCTCCAAACAAACCTCCCTCCAATTAGGTTTGAGCCATTTGTCTGGAAGACATAATTTAAAAAGACAGATGCCCATGAGCTATTCAGGCCATACCTCAGCCCTTCCACTTTCATCCTCAGCTTGAGCACCTCACTTAACAACTGAGGAATATGTTGTTCTTAACTTTCTGTGAAGAATGGAAAAGAAGTCACTTTGGTAGCCATCTGGCTGGAGCAAAAATCTATTAAATGGTGTCATACCTCATCCCTGCCATTCCTTACATCCTTCTCCCACACAAGGGGGAACCCTCTAAGAACTCTACTGTTTAACACTGGAAAACTGGCTATCTTCTGCTTTTGTTCCTTTTGAAAAAATTTAGTAGAAGACTCTCTGGCTTGCTTTATTTTCTATTTTGCAAATTTACAATGGGTGAAACCAGAATGCTGGGATAGCATTAAGTTTTAGTTTGAGTTCAACTCAAATTAAGTTTAATTTGAAATTACATATACCTTCTCACGTAATAAATCTTTGGTAATTGAAGATCTGCACTGGATGGTTAAAATATGCTGATTTAATTTAAACATAGCAATTTTAGTTTTTAAAATAACTGCAAATTTCTGATACCACCAAAAATATTTGATCACTGAAATTTATTTCGAGTAGTGAAACATGGAAGTTCTGACTTAAATGCTCAACAGAATCTATAAAATTGGATTTTGTTGTTTAAACCTTTTATGGTAAGTGATTGGGAGATTGTCCAGTTCTAACAATCTCTCTTATTCTGCACATTGCGGAATTGCTTTTATATTGTTGAATATAAGGAGGCAAAATTACGTACAAACACTTCTCAGGCCAAAAATAATTATTTATTTATTTTTATTGCAACCTTTTCTTTTCTATTTGTAAATTTTACCTTTCTTTTTTTTTTTTAAAGTAAAAGCAGTGAGGTAAAAGCTAAAACTTGAAGAACAGCTTAAGGATATTGATTCATTCCTACTTGACAGGTGAAATCAAAGTTGGAGCACTAACCGCAGCAATTACAGCATTAAAATGTCAAGAAATTAGAGGTCAGAATAACAGATAATTTTCTTCCTTTTGTCAGATTAAAAATTGACATTCTTTGACAGCACAGGATCTCTGGCTGAGAAAATTATGACAGCTTAACTCATCTTGTAGTTGTAAAGCAGTAATTGATAATGAACTTTACCATGACAGTCTTCTCCTGTGGAGAAACATGACAGAACATCGCTGGTACAAAGCCTGTATCGCTTTTTAATATGTAAACAGTAGTTATATTGGACATTAGATGTTATTTGGAATTGTGTTTACTGTTAGTTTACATCATAATCCAAATTCTTTCCACTGGACAAATTTGACTGACTCCAGGAGGTTGAAGCTGAGAATGCTAATGTATAAAGAACAGTATCAGCAATGTAGTTTATTTATGGTGCTTTGATATTATTAGTTCACTTCTTTAGGAAAATATAGTTCCTCCCCTGATTTCTCCCAGAATGTCTATATATTTTAGAAGCCTCATTTTTCCCAAACACCTGGAAGTTTGGGCAGTCAAGCATCAGTAGAGCTGTGGGTTTTTTTCAAGTTTCAACTTGTTTTTGCATGATGCAAAATGTTGTGGATAAAAGGGAACAGCACAGCTGATGCAAATGAAACATAGCAAATGAAACAGAAGAGCTAAAATTATATTTAGTACTACCTTGTAGATTAAACACAAAATACTTAAGAAGGTGTGTTCAGTTTGTGCATAATAAATTAATCACATATAGTACTGAAAGCACATCTAATGTGCAGAAAAGTTCAGGTTTTCAAAATTGTAGCTAGATCTCTATTTAAATTTGTTGTTGTTGTTGTTATAGGCTTTCAGCTTGTTTGTGATTAGAAATGTTTTGAAAAATCAAGTGAAGCATGGTATTGCACAACTATTGTTTTGCACTGGGCTCTAGGCTAAATTGTGTCATCTTTGTGTTGAATGTGAGTCGCAACTACAGCTTTGCAGTGTGGCATAGTGACTTCTCTGTGACTACTGCATCCTCACCAAACACATCCCCCCAGTCCAACAGGAATTGCAACTGTGTAGGAAAGCAAGGCAGTATGAAGTACTGGGCTCAGACAGATATTTGTCCCAAGCAGCCACCTGTCAAAATACCTGAGCACACTCACAACTCACACAGCAAATTGAAAAATTATTAAAACTACTAGTGTTTGACAGGCAGTTGCTGTGCCTGTAAACTAATCCTAGTAGGACAGTTTTGCTGGCAGCTAACAGAGCATATGGCCTATGCAATATTTATTTTTTGGTGGTGACTTGATATTTAGCATATTTAAATAATTTGAAAAGTCATAATGATGCAGTAGGCTTGCAGTGCTTTTCAGTT